AAAGAATTCCTTTCTTTTTAACAACCTATGTTACAAACAATGAAATAATGCTACTCTCACTTATCAATGTACACACTGTTCCCAATCTTTCACTATTAGAAACACGTTGTAATTGTTCACTTATCATTTTGTATATATGTGACTTATCTGGGATAAATTCTTCTAGATGGAATTGTTCAAGGGGTGTATGTACTTAAAATTTTGATACATAATGATAAATTGTCCTCCATAAAGGGCACCAACAGTAAATGAAAATGTCTCTTCTATACTTTTACCAACCCTGATATTTAACTTACTGATATTTGAGAATCTGAAAAGGTGTTTCTTATGATGACTTAAATTTGCATTTCTCTTCTCAGTGATGTTAGGCTTTGCCTTCCCCTAATTAAAAGCAATTAGATTTCCTTTTCTTTTGAACAATAGCCTTTGCTCATTTCTTTATTGTTGTGTCGTCACATTTTCTTATTCACCTGTAGAACTCTTTATATACTGAGGTATTACCCCTTTATAGTATGTTTTGCAAATATGTCCCATTTGTTGTTTGGTTTTGAGTTGGTTTATACTGTGTGTGTTTTTATTTGTTTTTTTGCCATGAAGAAGTTATTTTTATGTATCCAAAGTTATCAATCCCTTCTTTTATAGCTCTGAGTTTTATGTCATACTTAGGTTTTCCCCACTCTGAGATAAAAAGATTCTCTCAAGTTTCCTTATAGGATTTCAAAATATGTGATCCATCTATCATTTATTTTGGTGTAAAGAATGAGTTAGGACTCCAACTTTGTTTTCACAAGAACTATTAAATAATATAGTTGGAAATTAATATTCATAATATATAAACATTTAGAAGTAGGTTAGGCTACATATGTTAAGCAACAATGTGAAATGAATCTCAAAAATAACGTGCTGTGTGAATAAATAGAAAACTGTTGCATTCCTATACACTAATGATGAACTAGCAGAAAGAGAAATCAGGAAAATAATTCCATTCACAATTGCATCAAAAAGAAAAAAATACCTAGGAATAAACCTAACGAAGGAAGTGAAAGACCTATACTCTGAAAACTACAGGACACTCATGAGGCAAATTAAAGAAGATACCAATAAACTGAAACACATCCAGTGCTCAGGGATAGAAAGAATTAATACTGTCAAAATGGCCATCCTGCCTAAAGCAATCTACAGATTCAATGCAATTGCTATCAAAATATCAACCACATTCTTCAACCAACCAGAGCAAATAGTTCTAAAATTCATATGGAACCACCAAAGACCCCAAATAGCAAAAGCAATCCTGAGAAGGAAGAATAAAGCTGGGGGTATTATGCTCCCCAACCTAAAGCTCTACTACAAAGCCACAGTAATCAAGACAATTTGGTACTGGCACAAGAATAGACCCATAGACCAATGGAACAGACTATAGAGAACCCTTATATAAACCCAAGCATATATGGTCAATTAATATGTGACAAAGGCACCATGGATATACAATGGGCAAATGACAGCCTCTTCAATAGCTGGTGTTGGCAAAACTGGACAGCTACATGCAAGAGAATGAAACTGGATTACTGTCTAACCCCATACACAAAAGTAAACTCAGAATGGATCAAAGATCTGAATGTAAGTCATGAAACCATAAAAATCTTGGAAGAAAACATAGGCAAAAATCTCTTGAATATAAACATGAGCAACTTTTTCCTGAGTGTATCTCCTTGGGCAAGGGAAACAAAATAAAAAATGAACAAATGGGACTACATCGTGCTAACATGCTTCTGTACAGCAAAGGAGAGCATCAGCACAACAAAAAGGCATCCTACAGTATGGGAGAATATATTTGTAAATGACATACCTGACAAATGGTTAATAGCCAAAATGTATAAAGAACTTACACACCTCAACACCCAAAAAGCAAATAACCCTATTAAAAAATGGGCGGAGCGTATCAAAGACACTTCTCCAAAGAAGAAATTCAGATGGCCGACAGGCACATGAAAAGATGCTCCGCATGACTAATTATCAGGGAAATGCAAATTAGAACCACAATGAGATATCAACTCATACCAGTTAGGATGGCCAACACAGAAAAGATTAGGAACAACAAATGCTGAGGAGGATGTGGAGAAAGGGGAACCCACCTACACTGGTGGTGGGAATGTAAACTAGTTCAGCCATTGTGGAAGGCAATATGAAGGTTCCTCAAAAAACTAAAATTAGAAATACCATTTGACCCAGGAATTCCACTCCTAGGAATTTACCCAAAGAAAACAAGTTCTCAGACTCAAAAAGACATCTGAAACCCTATGTTCATCACAGCACTATTTACAATAGTGAAGATATGGAAGCAACCTAAGTGTCCATCAGTAGATGAATGAATAAGGAAGATGTGGTGCATATACACAATGGAATATTATTCAGCCATAAGAAGAAAACAAATCCTACCATTTGCAACAACATGGATGGAGCTAGAGGGTATTATGCTCAGTGAAATAAGCCAGGCAGAGAAAGACAAATACCAAATGTTTTCACTCATCTGTGGAGCATAAGAACAAAAGCAAAAACTGAAAGAATAAAACAGCAGCAGACTCACAGAACCCAAGAATGGACTAACAGTTGCCAAAGGGAAGGGGCTAGGGAGGGTGAGTGGGAAGTGAGGGAGGGAGAAGGGGAATAAGGGGCATTACTATTAGCACACTTAATAATGCAGGGGGTGGCATGGGGGAGGCAGTATAACACAGAGAAGACAAGTACTGACTCTATAGCATCTTACTACGCTGATGGACAGTGACTGTGATGGGGTTATGTGGTGGGATTTGGTAATGGGGGGAATCTAGTGACCACAGTGTTGCTCATGTGATTTATATTAATGATACCAAAATAAAAATAATAATAATGTGCTGTGTGAAAGAAGGCAGACAAAAAAATACACATTACATGATTCCACTGATACAAAACCCTAGAAAATACAAATTTAATCTACAGTGAAAGAAGTAGATCATTGGTTTTAAGGCTGAGAATGGGGAGGAAATTGAGAGGAAAGCGCACAGGAGAACATTTTGGAGTGGTGAGAAGACAGTCCATCTTGATTTTAATGGTGGTTTCATGAGTATACACATTTGGCAAACACATTGCAGGTAAAATGTGTGCATTTAAATGCATGTAAATTACACCTCAACAGAGTTTATCTTTTTTTTAAGAGACCTCTGAAAGAGTATTTTCAGTATGATTCTTTTTTGGCTTTAGACATACAGAAATATACATATTATAAGATTAGGAAGAAAACACAAGGTGATAACAGTTGACTTCATGCAGGGGAACTACAAGTGTTTAACATTTTTTCTATTTCATTTACCTTTATTTCCAAATTTTTCTCTAATGAAAACAGATTGCTTTGCTTTAAGAAAAAAGTTATTTAAAGTTAAAATGAATATTATTTTGTATAGACCTTAACTGTCCTGAAAAACAAATTTGGAGAAATGCATAGGATTTCACTCTACAGTTTGAAAAAAGTTTCCAATATAAGCAAGCTACTTTTCTTAGCCAAATGTCCAAAAATCACTGAATTATATTATTTTGCAATAAAGTGATTTCATAGATCATATTTTCAAACATTCTTATTTTAAAGTTGAGAAAAGTGAGGCCTAGAGAGGTTAAGTCATTTGGCACTATCACACTACTAGTTAGTGGTGGAGTTTCACTCAAATAGCAAAGATTCTGATACCAAATCCCATCTTTCTATGAAAAGGTCCTTAAACTACAGCACAATACTTCAGGCTCTATGTACTTTATCACCCTGTTCTTTGTTTTACTCAATTATTTTCTGCATTTCAACAAGAACAATGCTACTATTTCAGCAAACTCTTTTAAAAGTAATTCATTTTAGTTATCCCTGAGCCTATAGTTTTAAAATTCTTAGTAGATTCCTGTGGTGTGCTGGGGCTGAGTTTTCACAAAATTGCCTAACTCAGCTTGTCTAACGCATTTAAAAACTTGAATAGTTTTTAAAATATTTATTTTGAACTTCTTGGATAACAATGTTGAATTATTTCAGGAGCTTTTCTAGTATTTACTACTGTCATTTACATATTTACTCTATGTCATTTACTACTAAAAAGAGCATTTACTTTTTTCCAACAATTAAATCTTTTGTTTCTTGATCTGTTGATGATATAATGTTAAGTAAGAATGATGGGAAAAATTCTTGTCTTATTCTGCTTGTATTAGAAAAACCTTTGGAATTTTACTTAAAAATATGATGTTTATTGGTTGGAAATAAAAGGAAATGCTTTTAACATGACAGTAAGTGACCCTTAAGGAATTAAGAACAAAGATAAACAGATATTAGAATAACAAAATATATTCTTTTTTAATTTACTCACGTGATTTTTTTCTACCTACTTGCAAACATTAAATCATCCTTGCATTCTTAAGATAAACTCTGGTCAGTCATGGTTTTTTTCTTTTAATATACACTGCTGAATTTTAATGGTTGATTTCTTTTTTATTAAACTTAAGTTTGATAAGCTAAATATGAAACAATTTATTATATTTATAAAATTATGTATAATTTTCTTTTTTGTACTTTGTCAGTCTTTAAGTACACTGGGAGGTTCTCTCTGTGTCTGAGCTCTATGCTCAGATGACATGGTATATTTTCCTAGGAAAATGCCTTTCTTAGAGATGCGTAAGTTTCAAAGAATTGTAAAATATTAAGTTATAAGGGAGTGAACCAGTTATCATTTGTTGCAATTCATCATACTGCAGGAAAGGAAATCAAGACCAGAAAGGTAAAGGTCACTGATCTCTGGCCAAAATAACCTAGCATCCCCAGGCCTTCAGTTCAATGACAGATTTTTGTTAACATTTATTCAGTAGTAAGGAATATGCTGTATAGGAGTAAAATGAATTTATAATTAGGAGAAAGACATTCAATTAATTATAATTAATAACTATTTATGTGACCACTTATTTTTTAGGTAAAAAAAAAATACTATATAGTAGCTTACCTGTGATTTTAATATTACAAGGAATGCCAAAAGGAGCCTCTCCTACAGTTCCAGTAGTCCCACCCCATCTGCAGGCATACCCTAAGTCAAGTCTCTGTTGCATGAACTAAAAACAAAACAAAACAAAACAAAAATGGTGGATTTAGCATCTACTTATTTGCTTTATAGAGAGAGAAAAAATCAAATTCACATGTTTAAAACAGAGAAAATGTATTAAGGACCTTTCTGTATACATTCCCACCCCTCTTTCAAAGATTACTTTGTCTTTCTGCATTTGTACAGTTTTGTAGAGTTGAAATCCACAGCGTCTTAGTCTAAAAGCATCTCACTAAAAAAAATTGTACCTTAGTCAATATCTCACATTAATTACAATACAGTAAATTTCAGTTTTCCCTACCTGTTCAGTGATGGCTTGGAAGCTATAGAGTCTGACCAGTCCTGAGCTGTACATCACAATGAGTATTCCATGAGACAAGGTAGCATCTGTAACATTCCCGAAAATCTGAGGGGAAAGGTAGATATCACCTAAGAAAAGACCAGAGGGCCAATCCTCAGAGTTTTCACAGTGGTTCATGCATTTGCTTAATAATCAGGTCACTACTACAACACCCCTGCCTAGCATTGTAACTTAATTATAATCTAGAAACTTCAGGCTAAGATGTTATTAGGGTGGGAAGGCACTGGAGTCTCAAACTGGAGCACTAATGAGGGTATAGCACATACCCCTCAAAATGCAGCAGCATTCATTTGCTTTATAGTTCTAATAACACTATGTTTTAATAACAAATTCTATTCCTCATGACATAGGTATACACTGAGTCCATCTAATTCTACCATGGAGATTATGCATGGTACAATAAATGTAGAAACCCATTCTTTATGCTAAAATAAAGAGAATAGGTGAAAAGGTTGGATCTAAGAAAGGAATCAAATGAGAAATTTTATCATAACTTTGTTCTTTGAGTATCTAATACTGTCTGACTTTTTAGTCATAAAAAAACCCAAACATGTTAAAGACCAAACATTCAGAAAGACATCTAGCCTCGCTAACACTGAGTAAACCTCTGGCTTATTGTTCCATTTCTGTTTCTGTTCTACACACTGGGTCCTGTCATGACTCTCTACAGAGCTTTGAGAAAGAACTTGATTCTGTGCCTATTTTAATATTTAACAAAAGCCAAAACAGACAAATATCCATAGCAATGGGAGAAACAAGTAGATATTAGTGAAAATGTTTTTATTTTTTACTCAAGACAAATTACTTAGTTAAGATTTACTACCTCAATAGCTTAAAATACATTCTGAGGCTGGCCCTTGGGTAGTCTAATGCATGGTAAATGAAAGATATGCTTCAATTTCAAATAATCATAATAAAAAACAATTCCCTCTAATGATTATCTTGGACATGTTAAGAATAAATAGAAGTAACTTGTAACTTTGCTAAGTGTGCATTCCTGTTGTAGACAAGTGTACACAATTACTTGATCCACAAGCACAAAAAGAACAACTAAATTCGTAAGTTGTTTTTTGTCATCTCTTAGAAGGATAATTATGGTTTGCTTTGATCTTGACTAGCCCATGACTTTTTATTCTCTGATGTTTGTTCCTCACTTTGAAAAGGAGGACTTACGTAATTCAAACATATTTTCAAACAATGAGTGCTATAATAAAGTAGCCACTCTACTTTAAAATTCCATTTGTACTTTTGGAGTCAAATCTAAGTTCAAATTCTAACTTCTCCATCTAATACCTTTAGGATTTGTAGCTGCTTAACTTCCTAGTTTAATACATTATATGTTACAATGTTGTACAATACTCAAAATACCCAGCACAGAATAATTTATAAGGACCTAATATGATGTTAACCTTTATGCACTTTAGTATATTATTTATATAAAACTTTCTAAATACATTCATCTTGTTTGCTAATGAATATTAGTAGATCCTCAAGATCTGGCCTCAATAGTACTTTATGAGTTTAAATAAAGGTTAGACCAGAACAGAAGGCAGAGTAGACCAATAAATAACATATCCACAGACTAAATAACTTTTTAAAGAAGAGTAGAAGACCACTGATTCTTTTACTCAAAGGAAGGATGTTCTTTCCTTCCTTCCATATAACTGCCACAAAAATAAAAAATATTGGCAATGATAAAATCCAAAACTCAATGAGTTAGAAAATTAACATATTTAATTATAAAGCTCATTTATATATCATAAATTTTAGATGTATATCTTATAATTAAGATGGGGCATTTTGTTGCAGTTTTCCACCTTCCTTTAATCATTTTAATAAGCTATGGAACATTTCCTCTGAAAAAATACCTTATTCACTTCATAAATTTATAAAATAGTGGTTTGTTAATGACCACAGATATTCAACACCACCTACTTGAGAGGCATAAAAACATGTAAGAGTAGAAGACCACTGATTCTTTTACTCAAAGGAAGGATGTTCTTTCCTTCCTTCCATATAACTGCCACAAAAATAAAAAATATTGGCAATGATAAAATCCAAAACTCAATGAGTTAGAAAATTAACATATTTAATTATAAAGCTCATTTATATATCATAAATTTTAGATGTATATCTTATAATTAAGATGGGGCATTTTGTTGCAGTTTTCCACCTTCCTTTAATGATCATTTTAATAAGCTATGGAACATTTCCTCTGAAAAAATACCTTATTCACTTCATAAATTTATAAAATAGTGGTTTGTTAATGACCACAGATATTCAACACCACCTACTTGAGAGGCATAAAAACATGCAGAAGATGAAGGGATGATTAAAAGCTCTTTCCAAGTCAAACGTTCTCATGTGTTTTGATATGAAAAAAAGTCAGAGCAGCAAGCTTTTTATAGTCAGGGGATCAATTCTAATCAAAACACCTTATAAAAAAATAATATGAGGATACTACATCCTATTGTCAAAAAATTAATATTGCAATTAAGTCAGAAGTGAGTTCTTACATTTTTGTTGATCTCCAAAATCCCTATGAGTGAAAAAGGTAGAACATGGAATACCGCAAGGTACAGCAAAACAGGCTGCTGAATGCCTGCCTAAAAGGAAAGACTAAAATTACAGGCAGCTCTCAAGAATATTTCAGAAACATTGTTTTCATGAGCTGAAAACATCCATCTACATTGCAAAGTTACTTAAATTGGAAGGCATACATGCTCAAAATATGTCCACTAAACCTTTAGCCCTTTAGACATACACATGCATACAATCTATAAAAGTAAACATAATAAACATTTCTTAGCAACAAAATATATTTCATATAGTGTACAACATATTTTGTATACTGCATAACAAGCTATATTTTATAAAATACAATTTAAGATATTTTCTATTATATGAATACAAATTAACATAATAGACTATGTATTATATTATTATGTAACTTTCATTGTAAACTAGAATTCAACAATAAAGAGCCTAAATGAAAGACATACATATAGTTATTATAGTCATAACATTTGAAAGAAGCATTAAACTGACATGTCTATATGAGAGGAGAAAAAAAAATGTCAACAATTAAAGCTTGAGTGGTTTCTCTGTTGAAGATAACTCCCTTACTTTGAAGAACAGGCTTAGTCAATTTCTTTCTACTATGGAATGTAAAATAATCTGTTGTACTTCCCCAGAGTGGCTTGAAGGGAATTTCTTAAGTTTGTGGCAAACAACTTTTATAGCATGCTTCAGAAATTAAAGATAAGTAGTTCTTTCATAACATATTTGCAGACAAATTGCTCTGGAAACAAATTCTTCATTTTATTGATTGGATAAAGATGTCTACCTGCCGGGCCAATGCTGAGCCTTTGTTCTGAGCTGACTTGACTGCAATGACTTCTTGAGGAGTGTCCCAGCTCAAGTATCTTTTAAATAATGAAGAGAAGTTTATTCATTTGAGTCAGTTTTCTAATACTTAAAATAAAAATATAATAGATATTTTATAAGAGTTTTTTACTCTAAAAATTATATATAATTTTAATCTTTCTAGAGTCTCAGTAACTAACATTGTGTTTGATCTAATAGTATTCAAAACTTAGAAAATTCCTGCTTTAAAATGGCAGTTATAAAAAGCATTAAAAATGTGACTTTCACATTTTGCATGCACATATTCATTCCAAAATTTTATACCTCATGTACAAAACTACTGTTTCAATAATAGTTCTTAGATTCTATGAGGCAGGTTAATTTAACCAAAACAGACTAGCCTTCAGGAAAGTCTACCATAAACTGCATCCTACATATAAAATACTATTTGTAGAAAGGAAATTTTTTTTAAAAGGGTATTTGTGTATAGGTTAGTTACTTCTGAGGAATACAAAGATAAATGCTAAAGGGGCTCTAGCCTTAAATCTTCAAATTTCTTAATGGAGAAAAAGAGTAAGTTTATTAATTGAGATCCAGGTATACAATGGAAAACTTTTAAAAAAAAGCTTGAAATTTCCACACCACAAGTCTCAAATTTCTATACTAAAATTTGAAGAATAAAATCACAGGTAATACCTGAATTTGCAATATGAAGCAAGATATATTTTCTCAAGGACTTTTCCTGTAGTTGCTGATACGCGAAGTAGCCAATTATGAGCAGTCAGTGCTATAAGTGAGGATTCATAATCTGATGGATTGGGAAGCATTTCTCCCTAAAAAAAATGAGGTATATAAAGGAAACTGCTTGGTCATGAGCAGTCTGTAGTAATCTGTGTTCAAAGAGAATAGCTAAATCCTTAAAGAAATAGTCAAATAAGTAAACCAAAGAAATATTAAATGTACAAGTAAAGAATTAAGACAAGGAAAGACAAAAGTGGATAATTATTTCATCATCAACTTATTAAATGATTTTATTCACATAAACTGCTTAACACTACTCAAAATAATTTTATTACTTATTAATTATTATTAAACATTCAACAAATGTGAGCCAATCATCATCATCACAATAACAACTATAATAGGAGTATTACTATTGATGCCCCTGTGATAATGACGATAACAACAATAAGTTCTTAAACAATGCATAATAGCAAAATCAATCAAAAGGCATCACTAGAACAGGTATTTCTTTATTCCAAGATTTGCTTTCTTTTTGATAGACGTCAAAATGGCAAAAGATCAAATTACTCCATTATTCACTGTGACTCTACTTTAACCCCAAGAGAAATGCTAAAATCCAGAATCACGGCAGCCAAAGAAAAGAAGGTGGACCTGGTTTTAAAGATAACCTCTGTCACCGATGAATCACCCTCCAAAAATGGGGTGGATAGCTGTGTACCTGCCAGCGAGGAGATGCCACAAGGTGGAAGTCTAAGGCAGGAAGAGAAAGAGAAGTAAAGGGATCCATTTTTGATATGTAGAATAAAAAAAGAAGCTCTCAGAGAAAGGTTAAGAATAGGGAAATTGAAATTATTCTAGTGTTTGTTTAGGCTGAAAAGTAAATAGAAAAGAATGAAGACATAGCTTTTTCATATGTACTCCTTAAGATTTGTCTTTTCTTTCAAATGTTAGGGAAAGAAATAAGCTTTTTCAAATTTCTTCATTTAGTGTGTATGTGTTTAAGCCTATTAACTGGAAGCCTTACACTAAAATTATAAGCAACAATGTAAACAATTTTATTCTATGGTGTCTTACATAAGAATCATCTCATGGAGATTTTTAAAGTTTTAAATGTACTATTTACACCTTGCCTATTAAAAAAAAGAATTTGAAGTAGCATATATAATAAGTTTGAGTTATTTTCCTAAACTAAAAAAGTTGTATTTCACACATAATCTAGAAAAGGATGCTAATTTAAATGCAGTTTCACATCAGTATGTTAACAGCAATAAAATACACTTCCTAGTTTTTCTTAATGGAAAATCTTGCTTCACTTCAAATGAGAACAAAATATTTGAACAGAAGTGAGAATAGGAATTAGAAACTTAATTTTTGCAGGATTGTTCTAAATTTCTGTTGTTTTGTAGTGGTGTCTTCAAAACTTTTCTCAATTAAGAAATCTGTCATCCTCTTGACCCCACCAATGAAAATGGATTAAAAGGCTTTACATATGGGGAGCCCAACAGTTATTTTTAGCTCTCAGGAAGGATTTGAGGAAGAAACATAGATTCAAAGCTTTCTGATTTTTAAAAAAGTACCTTCTATGTAGAGCGAGTAAGCATCCAGGGACAAAAAAAAGCAGCAGCTCCAGAAAACTACAATTCTATGTAAAAACAAGTCTTCAAAAAAAAAAGTTCCATAGTAAATGCAAAGCATAGTCTCATATCCTTTAAACACTACTTTTAATTATATATTCTGAGTTCAATTTTTCCTAAAAAAAAAAAGTCAGATTTGTTGCAGTATTTTCTAAGTACATTTCTTAGAACACTGATTCCACCAAAGACTAACATTTAGAAATATACCTCAAAAAAGAAAGTTGTGATCAAGAATTTGAGAAAATGGTTTGACAATCACCGTGCACATAGGTATAAGTATTACTAATATTAAAGCCTCTGAAAAATAATTCTATAAATATGTAAATATGAATAAATACAAACAAGTATATCCCAAATTCAGAATATCCCGAACTATTTTGTCTACCACCCAGTTCTCCCAACTCCTCAAACAAGTATAAGATACTAACATCTTATGGAAAAAAACAACAGTGTTCTGAAAAATACACACCAGGGCAATTCTGGTCTGATGGATCAAGATTACCTTATTATTTTAGGTTTTGTTTTTGTCATATTTTTTTCCTAACAAGATTCATGGAAGAAACTCATGAGAATCCACTTTAAAAAAGCCACATAATATTAACTGCTGTGTAAATAAATATTTTGTTTCAGTATATTAAGTAAAGTGATCTCTTAAACACTAAGAATAATTATAAACTAGTTTATATTGCTCATAACACTTTTAACCACCTTATAACTTTTTTTAGTTTTCAAGATTTATAAATGGTATTGAATTTTAAAAATCTAAAAATCTCTTCATGTTTCATGAGGAAAATTGATAATCAAAAGACATACTCTCTTCTTGATTCAAGATCCAGGAATCATTATGATATATAAGTTTTATTCCTTTATACTATATATTAACAATAACCAGCTCTTCTAGGCTACAAATGCTTTAGAAAGAAATGCTCTAGAAACAAATCTTACCACTGGGCATTCCCATAATAAAGCATCTTCTATTTTTTCTGATCTGGAACATTTTGGCATTTCATAAAGTTTTCTTGGCTCTGATGCAACACTGGGGGAAAAAAAAGATTATTCTTGATAAGTGACAAAATAGTCAGATTTGAGTGATTTTTCTCTATTCAGAGATTTGAAATACCAAAATACAACTTGTCTACTTTGCTTTCTACTTTCTTAACTGTTGACCTTTCCTTTCTGATCGCAAAATTCATAATACACATTCAAAGAAAAGAAATCTGAAAAATATAATAAATTAAAACAGATTATAATACTATACGGCTAGCATGTTGAGAAGGGCAAGAAAATCTGAGGCTAATGTCTGCCCCAACTATGACGGCTCAACTTTTAGAGTAGGATAGTCACTCAGAAGCATGCCATTGATCCCTACCACCACCAGCTCTAGACCTTGGCATGAAGATTTTGGCAAAAAGCAGAGAGCCCCTAGTTTCTTCCCAGAGGAGCTGACTTCATTTGCAACAGACTATGGAGAGGTTCTAGCCTAAGAGCACTCTCAAAACCAGCAGAGGTTGTGGTGAAAGGCAAACGAGAAGAGATTTTTAGATTAACTGGCCAAATAGGCTAAACTGTAAACTGGCCAATTTAACAGAGAGAACCAGAAAAAGATTGCTGGGGGAGGTCTCCTCAGGTCAGAACAAATCTCAAACACTACCTAAAAAAACTATCATCTCTAACTTCTGGTTTCTGGTCCAACATGTTAAGAGCTTAGAAATCATCACACCTGTCCTCACAACAACAAAAAAGATGAACAAACTGAAAACCAGCAAGTCTTCCATCAGAAACTGAGATGACAGGGCAGACCAATGCCAGTGAAACTGGAGAGAGAGGTGGATACCAAGAAACACAGCCTACCAGGAGCAAGCCACTAGAGACAGTACTGGGAAGACAAAACAAGGACACCAGGCGAAATTGTAACCTTTGACACCTACAACTATAGCAAATATAAACACAGCCTCACTCCTAGCCAGATAAACATAAAACCTCACTCTCAAGACCTGCTTATCACAATTACTTTTATCTAATACATCACAAACAACTTTCAACAAGAAATGACAAGGCATGCCAAAATGCAAAACACAAAGACTGAAAAGACAAGTACCAGAACCAGACTCAAATATGGTGAGGATTTTAGAATTATTTGAGAACTTAAAATAACTAAGATGAACATGCAAGGACTCTAATGTAAAAAGTGACAACATGCAAGAATAGAATGGTAATTAAGCATAGACATTATCAATAGGAAATACTAGAAATAAAAAAACACCATAATACAAATGAAGAATGTCTTTGATGGATTCATCAGTAGACTGGATCACAGCCATGGAAAGAATCAGTGAGCTTTAAAATATTTCAACAGAAACTTCCCAAACTAGAAAGAATGAAAAAAGTGGAACACAATATCCAAGAACTGTGGTTCAATTAGAAGAGGTGTAATGTATACATAATGAAAATGCCATAAGGAGAAGAGAGAACAAAAGAATACTTGAAATAATAATGACTGAGAAATTAACTTCCAGAATTAATGAGAGACCCCAACCTATAAATCCAGTTAGTTTACAGAACACAAAGCAGGATAAATACAAAAAAATCTGTACTTTGGAATATCTAATTCTAAACTGTAGAAAATCAAAAACAAAGAGAACATCTTGAAAGAAACGAGAGGGAAAAAGCACCTGACCTGTAGAGCAACAGGATGAGAATCACACTGGACTTCCTTCAGAAACCGTGCAAGCAAGTAGAGAGTAGAGTGAAATATTTAAAGTGACAGACAAAACCCCCCACATCAACCTAAAATTCTGTGTCCCAAGTCCAGCTGAGGAGAAACAGACAAAATTGAGAGAGTGCATTGCCAGTGAACCTGCCTTACAAGGAATGTTCAAATAAGTTCTTCAGAGAGAAGAAAAATGATACAAGTCAGTAATACAGACCTCAAAGAAAAGGGGAGCATTAGGGAAACAATACATGAAGGCAAAATAAAGCCCTTTATTTTTCTGCATCTTAATTGGTGCAACAAATAAAAATTTTTCATAATAACAAGATATTCAGTGATTATAGCTTATGGGTAAGTTAAAATAATGATAGCAATATTATAAAAGGCAGGAGGGAGGTATCAGAAATACTGTTTTAAGATACCTGCATTACCCATGAAGAGGTATGTTACTTAAAAGTGACTTAAATTGGTTGTAAATGTATATTGTGAGTTCTAAGGCAACCACTATAAAATTTTAAAAAGAAGTATGCTGACGTGGAGAGAAAATGAAATCATATAAAATACTCAAAAGCAGTGAAGGCGGAAGAATGAAAGACAAAAAAATGAAACAGAACAAACACAATGAACAGAAAACAGTTACAAATATGGGAGGTATTAAACCAACTATAACAATAATCCCTTTAAATATGAATGGTCTAAATACATCTACTAAAAGAGATTGTTAGAGTGGATGAAAAAAACAAGACATATATGTTGTCTACAAGACACCCATTTAAAAGACAGAGGTAGATTAAAAGTAAAGGGATGGAGAATGATATACCATTCAAATATTAACCAAAAGCAAGCTACCGTCATTATATTAATTTCAGGCAAAGCAGACTTTGAAAAGTAAAATTACTGGGGATAAAGAGTGGCATTACATAATGATAAAGAAGTCACTTCTCCACAAAGACATAAAAATCCTCAATGTGTATGCATCTAACAAGAGAATCAAAATACGTGAGACAAAAACGGATAGAACATAAAGAGAAAAAAACAAACCCACTATTACAGTTAGATTTCAACAAAATTTCAATCAGTAAAAGATAGATCCAGCAAGCAGAAAGTCAATAAAGACACAGCTGAAATGAACAGTAGCATCAATCAACTAGATCTGACATCTATAGAATACCTCATCCAATGACAGAATACAGACTCTTCTCAAGCTCACAAGAAGCATTCACCAACACAGACCACAGTCTGGGTCATAAACACATCTTAACAAATTTAAAGGACTAGAAATAATACACAGTATGCTCTCAGACCACAAGGGAATTTAATTAGAAATCAGTAATAAAGATAGAAAATCCCCAAATACTTGGAGATTAAACAACACACTTCTAATTAATGCATGGATCAAAGAAGTCTCAAGATAAATGTAAAAATGTTTTTAACGAAATGAAAACGAATAAATATATTGACATTTGTGAGATGCAGTAAAAACAATACTTACTGGGAAATGTATCTATTAGAAAAGGAGAGGAGCTCCCAGATTGGTGAACCCATCTCCACGTGGTCAGGGAGAACATGCTCAGGGAGCATGAAAGCTCTGTGCCTCTTTCCACATACCTGGCCCTGCCTCTCTCTCTCTCTCATCTGGCTGCTCCTGAATTATATCCTTTTATAATAAACTTGTAATCTACTAAGGAGCCAGTCACAGAAGAGTGTATATTATGTGATTCCATTTCTATGAAATGTCCAGGATAGGTGAAACATAAGATAGAAAGTAGATTTCCATTTGCTTAGGGCTGAGAGTGATGGAGGTAATAGTATGATAGCTAAAGGGTATAGGAGTTTGTTTTTGAAGTGATGAAAATATTCTAAAACTAACTGTAGTGGTGATTGCCTATATGAGCCACCAATTGCTCATTAAATTCATTGACTATTAATTTCAATAAAATAATTGAATTATATGTACACTTTAAATGGGTGAATTGTATGGTATATGAATAAAGCTCTTTTAATAAAGCTTTTTGCAAAAAATGAACATGCCATGTATTTTAGAGAAGCAAACTTAGGTATGGCATGTTTGAAATATGGTTTAGACTACTTAACAAAGACGTAAACAAAAAGGGGACATTGGCATAGATAAGTAAATGTGGCAAAATCTTGGTTGTTTTGAATTTAGATAGTTGGTATAGTATACATACTATTCTCTACTTAAGCAAACTTGAAAATTTTCTCAGCAAACAAACAAAGGCAAGTGCTTCCAAAACGAAACAGAAATTCTTCTCTAATTATTAGATACATGGCTGCCTTGACTTTGGTATCTTTCAAGAATAATAGAATACTACATCATACTCTCAGCCATCTATCATTTTGCCTGCACTATATAAAGCACGATTGTTTTAAATGAGCGTTTACGGACATGAAGCCAGGAACTTTAGATTTAGCAAAATTTTAAGCTACATGATGCATTTTACTCTCCTACTGTTATTTTGCACCTATTTTTTCATTCTGCTATTTCACTAAACACTAATGTAGGCATGTGGTTCCATACAAATTAGAGTTAAGATCAACAGCGAGGTGGATTACAGCAATAATTTTCACCAAAAGATACCTGCTAACACAGCACCGATAATTGTCAAAATATATTCTTCCTCTCTCATAGGCTATAGGTGACTTGGAATGAGTTGTCCACACATTCTTAAATTTAGTACTTTCCTGAAATACACAAGAATTTCGGTTTAAATAATAACTCATGAGCCTCTATCGTGTACCAAAATTTTAAGTTAAGACAGGTTTTACAGTTTTCCACGTAATCTCACATACGTTATTTAAATGCAACATGTTCAATTCTTCCTCACTCTGCCCTGACGTTCGGGTTTTAGTGGGGTGACTAACTTCTAGAGACTGCTTGCAGGAAGACATAAGCAGCTTAAAACTAAAAACATACGGCTTCCCTATTAATAACTATTTACAAATCTCCCAGGTTCAGCGCCTGGATCCCACTACCCGTCGCATGTTATCTTAAGAGGGGGCTGTAACGCGTAAAAACTGCAGCTCAATAGTTACAGTCTTGACTGCGGTCGCGCTCTGCCCTTAGTCGCGCTCCCAGCCGGCGGGCCGTCACCTGGCACACAAGCGCCCGCAGGATGCCCAGGTTCGTCCTCTGCACCACGCCTGCGTCGCGCGAGAAACAGCCCAAAGCCCGGCGACTCAGCCGGCGGCACACGTTGGGCTTCTGCGTCGAGCCCATGGCGGCGCGGGGTTGCTGTGCGAAGAGGGCAGCGCCCCGCACTCCCGCGCTGAGCAGCGGCCTCTGCCTCCGAACCTCCAGGCCCCGGTTCTCTGAGGCGCACCGGAAAAGCTAACACGTGGAGCGGGGAGGAAGACGTACGGCAGAGGGCCCAGGGAAATCGGAGCCGGGCGATCCGCCGAGCGCGGAGAAGGGAAGGAAAGACCACGCCCACCCGGCCGACCCCTCCAGCCTCCTAGCGATCTGGAGCCGGCAGCGGACAGGACAATGCTACGTCCCTGTAAGGTGCGGCCTGCTGAAGCCTGTCCCTCACCGGGAAATGTAGTTCCCAGCGCCGTCTGAGAGAGACTTTTTTTTTCTCAGAACTACACTTCCCGTCAGGCGTCGGGCACGAAGGCGCAACCAGGCCCCGCCCCCAGCTCGTCGCTCCCACCCCGCGCGGGAGCCCTGGGGGCGCTGTGCTTCCACCTCATGGTCTCTGTTCCCTGTGAGCGTCCTGCGCTAGGGGGTCTGCCCCTTGCTGCTGCGAAATCCCCGCGCCTTTCAGCCCCAGACTTCTGCTCTGGGAGCTGGCGGGGCACCGAGAGGGGTCCTGTGTCCAGTGTGTTCCCCCAAAGCAGCGTCCTGTGCAAAAGGTACGCCCCACGGCTTTCCCTCCAGTCTCACGTTGGATATTGTGGATGAGGTTAACGGCTAAACATTTTGGGTCTATAAACACTGTGCTTTTGTATGAGTCAGTGGTGGAGGATGCTGTCATTCCCACCGAACTAGGGTTGAATTACTTTTTCCCAGAGGCCCGCTCTTCTGTGGCCTGCAGGAACACAAACTGTTTTTGCTTTAAGTGCTGCATTTTCCTTCCTGTCGCCTTTTTTTTTTTTTTAATTTCTCCGTAATGGGAAGAAAATATGAAATGGATACATTCTTACTGCACTAAGATAGGATAACTGTTAACTAGCTCTGCCTGTAGGGTCAACGTTCTCTCCGCACCACATTTTCAATAATCAAGCACCAGCGGTGTCTCGTTGCTTTGCTGTTAAGTCCCTTGAGGGTGGTATCTTTGCATGTCCCACGTGGGCTTGTGCAACCTCTGGGAAGTGATCTCATCTGACTGAGAGCAAAAAATACATTATTACTAGGTGAGTGCGTTGGATCACAGTGTAAGTGTTCAGTAAAAATTTGTCGTATCTTTTAAACTCTCCACAGCCTGGGCTTTTGCTGATTTTTCAGGACTTATTTGCAGCGTAACGTGGAGTGCTTTGTATATTTTTAGAGAGTGCTATAATAGTTAATTTGGTAATTCATGAATGCAGCTGTCACTGAGAAAACTGGGATCCAGAAAATACAAGTTTTCTTTGGCTGAAATGAAATTCAAATCATTTCTGAATTGAATCCATCATCTCTCTTTTTCTCCTTCCCTTTCACCCCCACCTGTTTATCTTCCTGTGGTCTTTATCTCACCACCAAGTCACCCAAAGGACATTCTGGATTCCCTCCTTTTCCTCACACAACCAAGTTCTTTTGATTCTAACTTTTATCCATCTCTTCTGTGGCCTGTGGGGACATAACCCCTGGCCTCACCGTTTTATCACATTATTGTATTAGGTAGCCTTTTTTCTGTCTTACTGAAATATTTTTAATTCCAAACCTTAATACTGCTGCCAGAGTGATTTTTCTAAAACACAAATCTCTCCTTTCCCTATTTTAAAATCTTTTAATGGTTCCCAACCACCCAGAGCAGAATTTCTCAAACCCAAGTAGATACCCAGGATTCTTTATTGTTAGCTTAAAATATATTCAGTATGTTAAATATATGCAAATATAAAACTATATATAGACTCCTTATGTTTCATCTTTTATACAACTGTTAAGTCCCAAAGAGTTATAAGTCAAATGAGGCAAAGCTTTAAAACAAATAAATTCAAATGAATACTTATACATTGTTTGCAATGAGACTGTTTTTGCTGGATCTAACATGTTCCAAGAGTCAATGTTCACTGTCCTCCATGTCGTGATATCCTTACAGAAAGGCCTGTCCATATTGTCCTTGTGTTGAGAGATTACTCAATGCACTTACATCTTTTTTTTATTTAAACCACTGCAAAAACTTCCTTTGTTCAGTGTGTCACGGTTTCACTTGACCTTAATTTGACAAACAATGTCATTTACATAGTCTCCATTTCTCTCATTAGCCTATGGCAATGACAAATGGCTCTACTTGTTTGCCAGTGCACACCTGAACACAAGTGTGTGAACTGAAATCTTGTGACAGTAGTCAAAGAGTATATATTTCCTATTGTGTAACAGATTACCACAAATTTAGCAGCTTAAACCAACACCAATTTATTATCCCTAATTTTTTCTCCCTACATTCTTGAATAACCCTAGAACCATTTATTGAAGGGTCCCTCATTTCTCCACAGATCTGCAGTGGTGACTCTGTTGTATGTCAAGTTTACATCATAGTCTTATGTTTATAATTGGAATTCCTCTAATATTTCACCATTAAGGATGATAGTGTAGATTTTTGGTGGCTACCCTTTTTTTTTGGTATCATTAATCTACAATTACATGAGGAACATTACTTTTACTAGACTCCCCCCATCACCAAGTCCCCACCACATACCCCATTACAGTCGCTGTCCATCAGCGTAGCAAGGTGCCATAGAATCACCACTTATCCTCACCGTGCCATACAGCCCTCCCCATGCCCACCCCCCACACACTATACATGCTAATCATAATGCCCCCTTTCTTTGTCCCCCCCCCTTATCCCTCCCTTCCCGACCATCCTCCCCAGTCCGTTCCCCCTTGGCAAATGTTAATCCATTCTTGGGTTCTGTGAGTCTGCTGCTGTTTTGCTCCTTCAGTTTTTTTCTTTGTTCTTATACTCCACAGATGAGTGAAATCATTTGGCACTTGTCTTTCTCCACTTGGCTTATTTCACTGAGCATAATACCCTCTAGCTCCATCCATGTTGTTGCAAATGGTAGGATCTGTTTTCCTCTTATGGCTGAATAATACTCCATTGTGTATATGTACTACATCTTTATCCATTCGTCTACTGATAGACACTTAGGTTGCTTCCATTTCTTGGCTATTGTAAATAGTGCTGTGATAAACATAGGGGTGCATATGTCTTTTTCAAACTGGGCTGCTGCGTTCTTAGGGTAAATTCCCAGGAGTGGAATTCCTGGGTCAAATGGTATTTCTATTTTTAGTTTTTTGAGGAACCTCCATACTGCTTTCTACAATGGTTGAACTAATTTACATTCCCACCAGCAGTGTAGGAGGGTTCCCCTTTCTCCACAACCTTGCCAACATTTGTTGTTGTTTATCTTTAGGATGGTGGCAATCCTTACTGGTGTGAGGTGATATCTCATTGTGGTTTTAATTTGCATTTCTCTGATGACTAGCGATGTGGAGCATCTTTTCATGTGTCTGTTGGCCATCTGAATTTCTTTGGAGAACTGTCTGTTCAGCTCCTCTGCCCATTTTTTAATTGGACTATTTCCTTTTTGTTTGTTGAGGTGTGTGAGCTCTTTATATATTTTGGATGTCAACCCTTTATTGGATCTGTCATTTATGAATATATTCTCCCATACTGTAGGATGCCTTTTTGTTCTATTGATGGTGTCCTTTTCTGTACAGAAGCTCTTCAGCTTGATATAGTCTCACTTGTTCATTTTTGCCTCTGTTTCCCCTGCCCTGGGAGATATGTTCATGAAGAAGTCACTCATGTTTATGTCCAAGAGATTTTGGCCTATGTTTTTTCTAAGAGTTTTACGGTTTCATGACTTACATTCAGGGCTTTGATCCATTTAGAATTTACTTTTGTGTATGG